ATGCAAATAACGGTGGCTGATTATACATAAATGTAAACGTTTCAAATTAGCATACTGGAAACCCTAAACCCAAGTGTCATTTTAAAGAGTGAAATGAACTTGCAATAGCAATTCTTTCGTTTGTCATTGACAGGAACACATGGTCAGTCTTGAATGTGAGTTGTACAGTCTAGCCTCTCCTTACGGACACCTCTATAACACAGACACCTCTCTATTATGAACAGTTCATTTGGCCTCAGAGAAGCCAATACATTCCCTACCTCTATAATACGGACACCTTTGTACAGCAGACAATTAGTTCTGTCCCCTTGGTGTGCGTATTAAAGAGGTTTGACTGTAATATTGTGAGGCCAAGTTCCCACTAACTAGATACTCCCACCCCTCAGATGACACCTCATAATACAAAGGCTGGAGTGGCTTCTCTTTAGCGAAACTGCTGTCTAGAAACAAAAGCTAATAAGATAGATACCTAACCTGGGCCTTTCATAGAACCACCTATTAAGAATTATTATCTTACCATAAAGCATTGGGGCATGGGACACTATAAACCCTGCAAATAATCTGCTGCGCTGTTCTTTAAGTGCTCACCACTGGGTCCGCTCTTCGGATAGCCTCTTGAATACGATGACGTTGGATGCGCACGCCCCTGTGCCTCAACCCTCCTTCCACCGGGCGTTGCCGGCGTTTGGTATCGCTTGAAGAATTTGTCTCACGTTTACGTCAAGTTCATCATCGGTGATGTCACTAAAATGTTCTCCCATCCCAACTGACAATCCAAATTCATGCCTCCGACGGCGTAGAGTTCGATCTCAGATACCAAGAATTCTCACGATGTCGGCCCAACAAAAACCAGCGTCGTTATGCAAAGTTTGAAGGTGTTCCCGTAAGACCTGTAGTCTTGGCCTGCCAACTAACCCACTCCTTGTTACACCAACATGTACAAGAGGTTCGTTGCATGGAGGCGATGGTGGAGTATCACAGCAAGTCTCCACGTCATCCATGTGCCTGTACTCTAATATATCATGACCACATTGTTTTAATGGGTGATCAATACATGGATATTGTGATCGGTTAGATGGGTACATGTAACTTGCGAACCAGCAGCCACGTATGAGATTTTGCGCAGGAGAATATTGCGTTCCACGTTATCAAAAACTTTTAAAAGATCAAGTAGTATAAGGATAGAAATCTATTTAGCGTCCATGGCCAGTCTATGTCCATCCTTCTCATCCGTTGCAAAAAAGACAACACGAGACAGTTTAAAAAGGCCAAATATGACGTTTGTAACAACAAACCTCGGGACCATTATGTTTGGAAAGCAAGTGATGCGCACTTATTGAAAGGGTTTTGCTTTTTAAACTGATAGCCCTGACGTAGCCTTTAAAGACAGTTTTGTTTAAAATAATACAAATTGTTTGACTGCGTTGGATCATGAGTCGAACGTTAAACGAGCTTATCAAAAAGGATTGATCATAAGTAATCAAAAACAAGCTTGCTTGTAGCATTTACGTTTTTTGATGATAACAAAGAAGGAGAAAAACAAGAAAACACTTAGACACTTTCTCATAAGTAAGTAAACTTTATTAAAGTCGGCCTTGAATATAACGTAGGCCGATCTGTCGAGGCCTTTGACGAATTATTAATTACCTGATTATTTAATTAAAACTAAAAATCTTTTTTAAACTGTCGTTTAATTTTTGACTGCATGTCTAAATAAAGAATGTCAATGTATATCAATTTCTTAAACACGGCAGACATGCACCGGGACTGACTCTCACTACAATCTTTTATGAATGCTAAAGTGAAAAGATTAAAACCAGACTTTGCATTTGCCGGAAGCGTTTTTAAGTTGTAGTGCAAAGAGATTTTCATGGGGATTTTCGAGTCGGGGTCGCATGTGTTTGAGCAACTCGCTCGCTTAGCCATATTAGGTACCAGGAATCTGATTTACATTGGTATTTACCGTTTTTTGACTTTTGCTAACAATCTTAATCTTAATTTTTTTACTCCTCTCAATCCTTACTCGGCGGTGAGTGAGTAGTTCAAGCGTAGTAGCGGTTTTTATAGCCAAAGCTGGACATGTTTAGGTAACTGACCCGTAGGGGTAATGTTTTGGTATTACTGAACCTACATGGCTGCGATTTACAAGAAGCTACAAACCAATGAACAACTAAAACGCTGCTTAACAAACCCAAACAGGAACTTCAACGAGACTAATGAATGAGCCAAGGTCAGCTCTGACATGAAAATCACGACCACCTATGAAAAAATAAACATCCGACAATGGCAAGAGAACAATATTCCTAATTAAAATGGCATTAAGTAAATCCGCGAGCTAAGCAAACATTCAAGTAGAAGTCTGAAAATCACAAAATAAAAAAAAAAGGAAAATGCCTATCCGCACCAAATCCAAACTAACCTTGGCTCACCTAATAATAGAAAAACGAAACTTAGAAGAAATACAAATCTTAAAAATAACCATTAAAATACTTCACAGCAGTTGTAAAAGTTTTATTAAATTGACCTAAGCTGACGTGAATTCTTTTTTGTTATAACAGCGCAGGTTCACGTTATCATTGGGTTTTAAGTGCGCTAATTTCAGTCGAAATTCGCTGTTTCCAATCAGGTGGCTCGGGCTGGGAAAAAAATGTGCCGTTTTCAAATCTAAAAATGGATAAACAATTAAAGTTATAATGAAATTAAAGCTTAATTACTTCAGTAAAATCGTAATTTACGGGAATCACAAAAAATCATCATCAATTTTACTTTGCTTGGCTAAACAAGCAAGGACTATATTCCTGTCTCGTGTTTAACAAAGATCAAGAAAAGAAAGAAAGATTTTCTAGGTTGTCGAGAAATACACATTGGGAAGTACATATTTTTGAAGATAGTAAGTATGTTAATATAGCTGCATGTTTTTTGGCCGTAAATAATGAAATGGTTCTTTTTATATTTATTGAGTAGGGTCAAGATAAAATACCTCCACCTCATCAGGTGAGAACATTAAACTCCCGGCCAGGATTGTTTTCGGGTCCTGCACTGCAGCAGGAGCAGGGTAGTACGAGTCAAGGCGTGCGTATGAGTCGCTCTTTCCGTTGGCATTATTAGCAATCTGAATGGCAAAACCAAAGCATGGACCAAGCGATGACGCCCAGCAAATTGCCCTCTTTGGACTCCTCACCTCAATCACAAAGGGATCCAGTTCTTCCTTATTGCTAATTGAAAAAATAAACGCCTTGCGAGTGTAGCCATAGCTATTCCAACCACGGGACTCTAACAAACCAACAAAACGTAAGTATTAACTTTTGAGTAAACACTGTGGTGTAGCTAGTTGCTCAGGGCCCAGTTGTTCGAAGGCTAATTAGCGCTTAACCCGGGCTTAAATTTAACCCTGGTTTCTTTTTCTTGTGTTCAAAAGCATTTTCTCGGAAAATTGTCTCTGTTATTTTTAGAGTTTCCAATCATCAGCTTGTAGGCAAAAAGAATTAAAACTGAAATGCTAAATAAGCTTTCAAATCTGAATTCAGATCTCGCTCTAACCCTGGGTTATCTTAACCCAGCTTTGAACAACTCGGTCCTGTAGTGTATTTTCCTTAGTTTAAATTTTATTTATTTATGTATTTTTGTTTTTATTCTTGACTTTAAATGAATTATCATAAACTAAAACAAAACAAATTTCATAAGAACCATGAGTGAAATGGAATCACACATTTTTTTAACTTTCCTTTTTTTTTTTTTTTTTCCTCCCTTTGTTTATTGTATTGCTATTCCTTACAATTAGTTATGAAAATGGACAGCCTTTTAAGACAGATATACAGAGATAGAAAACGTCAATGATACTGCATTTCTTATTTGCATTGACATGTGATGTAACTAACCTTTCAGCCCTTTTCATTAGGGAAAAGGGAACCAATAAGAGATATTTGACAAAATAATTTTGGGGATAATTGAATTGTTTTAGGGAGTGATGAACTGTTCATCATGGTTCAACATTAATTATATATGATCGACACTTATTTTTCTCCCTTTTCCTTTTTCTTTTTTTTTTTTTTTTTACCCCTTACCGCCTGTTTACCTGTTTTTGCTCGTTATAATATATGCTTATCATTATCAGTCAGTTAAGGCCATTCTGCTCTTAGGGCCATTAAGCAAGAGGGCGCTGCTTTCACTTACGCAGGAGCCCAGGGGATGACCTTACGCTTTTCATTCCGAAGAAATGATTTTAAGAAATGATCTTGACGTCAGGAATAGTCGACTCCTTGTTCGTCAGCTAGTGAAAACACATTTATTGGTTATAGGATCGCAAGCTGGATAATAAGGTGGGAATATCTTTGCCTCCAAGAAACACCATTTTACTATACTCGCAAAACCCACGAGACAATGGCTGCATGGTTATTATTTTTTGTTAGCACTCGCGAAGAGTCTTTATGAAATCGCCTCTGGTTTACACGCGTAAAAAGGCGCCTCTAGAAACAGATTAATCGAGCCTTTGCAATGCCATAACAATCACAATGACTATTGCATCTTTTCAGCTACAGTTATACCTTCTTTATTTTTAACATGAATGTAACTAAAAAAATTTGTGGCAAACATTTTTTTTTTCTTTCCCACAAAAAGTGCGCGGAAAGGGACAAGTTTTTCCCCCAGCACCTCCCCCTGCGTGTTCCCTGACTTTAGAAATAACGTTCTTACAACGTTTAGGGATAAGGGCTATCTCCTGTTAGATTTACAAGGATAAGGACTTATTTTGTCACATTATTTTTTTTGTAATGTACTTAAGAATACATATACAACTTTCTGTTTTTCTTGTGCAATGTTAAATCTTAGTAATTTAACAATTCACTTTGTCTTTCTCGGCCTCTTGGTGGTGGCTTACAACTGCGGGTTGAATTTACTTGAAATTGTCAAACCAAACATGACAGAACACTGCTCCTTCTTAGTCCATAAAATCTTTTAATCTCTTTAAAAATATTGAGCTAATATTTATTTTCTTATAAGCGTTAAAGAGTTACAACAACGTTTAATGCAGCAGTAAGCATCGACCTTAGTGCATCCACATTGCCCAGTACACACGAAATGTGACCTTCTGCATTTACCGAGAAGAGTTGCGCAGCCAGTGGTGCACCAAAATGAAACCAAGCCAACGAAGCCTCCGAGTTTGAATTGAGAGTCATAAAGGCAGGGACCAGTAGATCTCCAGCTTGCGCCCAGCCTGTCTCCTTTGGGTTCGGAAGCACTGGTTTCAGGAAAGTATGCCTGACGCCAAACAAAAGTATAAAAACAGTATACCACTTCTGTTCAATAGGTTCTGTAAATACCGGGACACTTTTGTCTTCCACGATATTAGCTGCCTGCAATTGCTGCATAACTCAGGAATTACAAGGGCAGTTCCGTCAGCAGGCCTCAAGCTTGCTAAATGCTTTGTTTTATTTGGGCCTCTTTGGCAACCAAGTATCTGTGTTGCGTGGAAAGTGTCCTTTCCGCCTAGTAACGAATCGTTGATGTCAATGTTATTAGCAGTGAACTGCTTGAAGTTGTCCGGGTTTAAAACCAGTTAGGACAACGGTGCCGTTTATCTCTTTCAAGAACAGACTGTATCTCGCGCTAGTGAGGGGTCCAACTTGAAGATTTGCCTGTCGTAGCTGTTTATGGCCCGCCTTGTGCAGTAGATCTACTAACAGCGTTAAACGCGTTGCTTGATGAAGGATACTACCTAGGGCGATGTGTTTCGGCATCCACTTGACTCCATCACTAGGAGCGTACATCATGCCATGTATGATGCAATCTCCCGTATCAGTACTTACGAATTCGAACAAGTCTCCAACTTTTCTCGTGATGCTTTCCTGTTGATAAATGACTGCGGTATTTGTGTATTGGTTTTTTGGGATAGCTTATTATATCCCGGCCATACGTCAGATAGCTGGAGTATTTGTTTACGCTCTGCAGTATAGTAGCCGAACTCAAAGCGGATAAAATCATAACGATAACTGCCTGTTGAGATTCTTCTTTCTTTTTACCAGTCTAATACTGAGCGCTCAGACACTTCTTGCGATACCTTTCAAGCCCTTTTGCAGCAATGAGATCGCTGACCTCAGCTACGCGGAATTTAATTTATTGCATTATCCAGATAAGCCTGAATTTTAGACGATTACCTCGAGTCCTTTTTTACTCTTTTAGCAACGTCTGAATCGACCGGCCGCTTATCCCGTGCAGTGTGACGTCACCACCCGAAAACCGGGTAGAGTTTGATTGGTTGATTCTTGTCCAAACATTCGCATAATTTTGTATAGTTATGAGAAATTTTAGCGGGATTGCCGGGTCGGATGCCTGGCATGTTCGCGTGGAGTTAAAAAAAAATCGACAATCTTTATTGTAAACAGCAAAATTGCCCTTGTCTTCGAAACTATGAACTGTTAAATTGAACTACCAATGAAAAATCATTGCAGAGAGTCGGTATAGGTGTTTCATTTAGAGCTGCTTGGTGGTTAATTTCGGCAGTGACTTTGTTTGTGCGAAAATTTCTGGGATTTAAGTCTTGTCATTTCCACCGTCTAGTATGATTCTGTTTGACTTTTCTTTCTTGTTTCTTTCTTCTTCGTTAAATACCAAATAGCTTCTTTTTAATTAAAGCATATCGTTGGGTTTTTGAAGTGTTCCGTGTGTATTTTAATAAGCTTGTTTTATCTGCGTGATTGCGATCGAGTTTGAGAATCCAATTAAACTTACAACAGATTCGCTCAGAGTACTGTATGCAGTTGACAGTTTAAACGTTAAACATGAATTACGATCAAAAAGAGTAAAGCACTTCTGTATCATGTGGACATTTACAGACGATATTTCTTCGTTTGCCACTTGAAAACGGTGTTTTACTTTTTGAATGAATTAAGGCAAAGAAGTAGTGACGTCACTGGACGTATTAACGGCCAGCCGATTCAGACGTTACTGAGGAAGTAAAAACGACGGGAAGTAATCGTCTCGAATTTAGGCTATATCCAGATAAGATGATTCAATTGCCGGGATTGAATTGCTTACATTGAATGCTGTAACTGATATGAGGGCCTCTCGAGGTTTTGATTTTTGGCAAAGTACAGAAAGACGCCATTGTACAGGTGCGTCACTTCTTCTACTACTTTGTGCTACTTGCCCTTTTAATGAAGTGGAAGCCTCCTTGTTGTCAAAATAAATACTTTTTCTGGTTTTGGGGAGATTACTTAATAGCTATTCCTTCAAAAGCTCAATTTTCACTTTGTGTATGAAGTCACGATAACTAATTTCTGTGCCATTGTAGACAATACAATTACAATACAATACAGAATGAGTCAGCATGACTATGAAATAGTTTCATGAGTGGTTAGGGCTTTCCACAAGTTGCTCGCAATATTTCAAAAAGTTTTCCGTAATTTCCCAAAAAGTTGCTCAAAAGTTGCTCAAAAAACAATCAAAAGTTGCTTTTTGTAACCAAAGTTGCTCAAAAGCTGCTCGAAAAAAACAAAAATCTTTTTTTGGTCGGATGCTATAATATGCAACTCTTCGTCCACCGTTTTGAATTTTCTCTAAAAGCAGTTGGCCTAGCAGCCCGGCTACTTTTATCTTGCGCCCATGATCTGCCCCAGGGTGGAGGATTTGGCTCCATTTTTTTTATAGGAAATTCAAAAATTGTATATTTAAACATTGTGAAATATAGAAGAAAACCCAATTTGAAGCACTAAAAGATGCTCCCATATCTCAGAATAAGATAACTAGAGAAGTTGCTCGAAGTACGAGAAATTGCCGAGTAACTTGTGGAAAGCTCTAGGAGTGGTTACATCTCTTACGCTTTCTCTTTTTATTGTCTCTTTATTTTGTTCATCACAAACACTTTTCCATGCCTTTGCGCTTCTAGCAGCTTTGCACATCTCTCGTCGGTCCTTGTGAAAAGCCACTCCTCAGCGTCCGTATTGAGAGAATCGCTGCAGCTCCTTTTCTTTTGGATGTCTCCATGCACCTACATTTATAAAGCATTCCGGCTATCCTAAACTATTCGAACTTACTTGAATTTCGAAGTTGCCTTGGTCTTGTAACTTATTTAGTGAGAGGAAAAGTGCAGGAATGGGAAGATTTTGCAATAATTGCCGAGAGCACGTGCAATCAAAGAATGGGTTATTTTAATATACTTTTTAATTATCTCAATAGAATTATTATGATAAATATCACATCTTTAGTCATAACTGGGCGAAATTAATATCAAAGGGTGTGGTCAATTGTCATGTGACGTCTCGAAATTCGCAGAAGCAGCGTTTTATAAATTATCTAAATGGTCTTTAAAACATACGTAGAGCCCTTTTAAACCATTTCTGGATCTATTAAATTTAAAATTGGTAAAGGAAAGAAACTCCTTATTTGCACAGTGAAGTGATAAGGAAATGCCCCAAAACTCCACCTTAACACAAGCATGAGCTTGGCAACAGTACTTTTCGAAATCGGCGTACTCGAGTTAGTAAGAATAGCTATGTTGCCAAAAATCAGACAAAAATGCCCGTGGGGGTCACAGTTTGGTGGCCTGTGTAGAAGACATAGTATTGAGTCAATACTTTGGTCCATGTATTTTTTCGCAAGGAACCGGGAGGATAGATATTCAACATATACGCAATTTTACAGAATCGTTAATACGTTACAACCAGCCTCCATAGTTCTTACAGCATTAGTTAAGAAGACTGGTCTGGCTCAACTTTACGTTTTATTGCTATTTGGTTTTAAACTGAGCAAGCAATATTCTTACCCCAAGGAATGTCCGTGTAACCTCCAAAAACGTATTTACCCTTTTTTATTATGGTAACTGTGTCTCTTTTTGCATCGCAGCGTCTGTGAAACTGTGTACTGACATTCCAGCCGTGCAATGTAGCCCGCCAGCACAGTAGCCAGTGCGAATTGTTCCCAACCGCAGGCTCCAGAAATTTTCCCAGATGGTACAAATAAGAAGGATTCGTTTTCAATATATTTGAGTCCATGAACGCTAAAAATAAGAGGAGAGTAAAATAAAGACATCAACGATGGCAAAAAGAAATGTTTTTTTTTGTGTTGTATTTGTTCTTTTGCTGCTGTAGCTTTCTGATGTCTCTGTACAAGAAGGTCTGACTGAAAACCTCTTATCGGTCCCAATGTCAGCTTCTTCCCTCAACCCAGAGACAAAAAGCTTTATTGAGGGTGGGGGGTACATGGGGTGCTTTTTTTTTTTTACACAATTCACGTGAGTCGATTGTACTGGCAACCTCTAAGTTTAAAGACCTATCATGTCGGTGTTCAGACACCGAAATGGGAGCAGCATTAAAAGCTACTGAAATAATACTAATTCAAACACAAAATCAAACGTACAAACAGCCATGGCCCAGAATACCAGGCATGATGTTAATGTTGTTGTTTTTTGATTGTATTGTTTTTATTTTTTTCCTTCTAGCCGCAAAAAAATCTCGCTAGATCTTGTGTTTTAAAGTTCATAAAATCTGAAATTGTCACAAACTTTGTTTAATTATGATTGTTACTCATGATTAAACAAACCGGACTGAAGCTATGTGGTCTCCTGACTCCACTCATCCCTATTTCTCTTATGAACTATATAAGTATTATAATAATCATTCAAATTACTTTTACTATAATTATAATTATAATAATAATAATAATAATAATAATAATAATAATAATTATTATTATTATTATTATTATTATCATCATCATTATTATTTCTTTTTTTTTGTGCACTGGCTGATCTCATAGCGTTGTACCTGCTAAGGGAGCGAGTCATGACCCATGAAAAAGGACCCTTAGATTTCGACTCCTTACTCTAGAACTGTTCTTAAAACTCCTTTCTGTCCCTAGAAGAGTAGTTTTTGGGGGGCAATGAAATACTGATTCTTGTGTCCAACTTTCCAGCCACTTCTCCAAGTTCTTCGTCACACCTGCGAATGATCCTACAACAATCTGTATCACCTTCACAGTTCTCTGTAATTTCCCTTTAAGCTTCTGATATTTTTTAACCTTTTCAACAATTCTCTTATCCCCTGCTACAGCAATATCGACAGTGGCGCACTCTCTCTCCTGTTTGTTTACAACCACATGATCATGTCTATTGTAGCATCGATGACATGATCACATTGGATGTTCATTATCCCACAGTAGTTTAACTTCATCTTTTTTACTCACATTGTCAGGCATGTGTTCGTATCTCACATAACTTCCAACGAACTACTTTTGCAATATTGTCATGTCTCTTTTTATATTCCCTTTGGGCTAACTTTTTAGTTACACTCACAGACAATATGGTTTACACTCTCGCCTTCTCGCCACATTACCTACATAAGGGGGATTCACCCGGTCTTGTCAACATACTATCAGTTACATGGTTGGTTCTGTGAGCCTGTTCCTGGCCTGCACAAATAAGAGCTTCTGTTTCGATCTTCGAGTCTGCTTTTCGTAACCAGCTCCAAGTTTCTTAGATGTGATGTTCCGGGTATTCCTCATAAAATTGACCATGCAGTCTTTTTTCCTTCCAACTGTCGAGTTTCAGCTCATTGTTCCACAATGTCTTCAGTCAGCTTAACTGACAGTTTCCTCACTTTCAATACATCTTACCCCTTGCAGTAAAACGTCTATAGTCGCAGCCTTTACGCGCTCTAGTTTTTAACACACAAACTTTATTCTAAAACTTCTACAACTGGTGAAGGGAAACAAGTGAACCGATGTGCAGTATAGCGGTACTGAAGAATAACAATTAAACAAATACAAAGTCAAGATAACACAACCTACGAACTGAACGAAAGCAATAAGGCAAACTAGAAATGCGAATGGAACAAACGCGATACTTACAAGACGATAGCGAGATAAGGACGAAATACTAGGACGAGCGAAGACGCAAACATTAAACTGTAAACTGGACCAAGCGCAACTAACGAAGAACTGACGCGAAAATTACAATAAAAGCTAAATATACGATATGTAGAAAAACCCTAACACGAAGGACAAAGCTACGCGGACAATGAAAAACTAGTGAACCAAAAAACAGCACTAAAGGCGCGAACACGATATTAACTAAAAACGCGGCGAACATAAAAATACTAAAAAGGTAACGGAAAACATTCCTGGCGCTTACACTCCGGCGCCTAAATATAAATCGGTTGTATTTACCTAATATTATAGAAAAAAGGAAGCCAGGAACTTTTAACGCCAAACTCCTTAAGCGAAAAATAGTGTCACGAGGGTTTAAGTGCCTCAACAGGGTTCATTGTTCAAACTTGATAGAACATCACGTAGGCTCAGTGAAAGTCACGCAAAGTCTCTTGAACAAATCTGGGAAAACAAGACACTTTCAATGTTCAATTGATTCCAGCAAACATAACTTCGTAATGGGTCGCTCCAAAGAAGAGGTCTTGGTTTTGACTCTTACGCGCTACAACGATACTCTTACAACGATAACCGTGTCTCCAACTGTGAAGTTTCTTCTCGGTCGAAACCATTTCTGGCGCTCCTGCAACGAAGGAAGGTATTCTCGTTTCCAGCGACCCCAGAACACATTTGCTAAATACTGCACTTGACGCCATCTTCTCCTGGAATAAGTGTCGTTATTTTCAAACAGCCCTGGTGGTAGAGATTCGTTTTGGCGAAGTAGTAGGAGGTGATTCGGCGTAAGAGGCTCCAAATTGTTAGGATCGTAGGAGAACTTGGTCAGCGGCCTTCCATTAATGATACTCTCAGCTTCACACAATAAGGTTTGAAGACACTCGTCGTCAAGGACTTGCTCCTTGGTCAAAGCTCCAAGAATCTTGTGAGTGGATCTGATAAGTCTTTCCCAGACTCCACCGTGGTGGGAAGTCGCTGGAGGATTGAAGACCCATTTTATACCTTTCTGTAGAAGGGTGTCGTGAATCTTAGCCTGATTCCAACCTGAGATCATAATGCGAAGTTCCTTTTCAGCTCCCGTGAAATTCGTACCATTGTCTGAACGAATCTCTTTAACCTGACCTCTGCGAGCAATAAATCTTCTTAGAGCTAAAATAAAGGAATCCGTGTCCAATGTGTGAGAAATCTCCAGATGGACTGCTCTCAAGGCCAAACATGTGAAAATAGCTCCATATCTCTTTACCAAGCTTTTCTTTTGGCGGACAACGAAAGGACCAAAATAATCAATTCCAACACATGTAAAGGGGGTTGATCTGGAGTGACCCTGGGACAAGGTAAGTCGGCCATTTTCTGTTCTCCACCGGGGCCATGGCGACGTTTACACTGGAAACAGGACGACAGTACACTTCTTGCCGTTGTGTTGGCTCGAATCAACCAAAGTCGCTCGCGCAAGAGGGATAGCACGTATTCTCTTTCAGAGTGACCACTTTTCTCATGAAAGAACCTGATAAACAGTACACCAAGTGGACAATCCTTGGAGATAATTATCTGATGCCTTGTTTCGTCAGGCAGAGGAGTTCTGCTAAGTCGTCCGCCAACGCGAAGTACACCACCAATTAGGACTGGGCTTAATTTTGCAAGGCAACTTGACTTCTTTACACAGCCTCCTTTCTTGATGGTTTCGATTTCCTCAGGAAATGCATTCCTCTGGTCAAACATAATTAGTTATCTTTCTGCAAAGTCTAAGTCTCGACAAGACATCGGCTCCAGGCTGAGGGCACCAACATTTCCTCGACCATTCGGGCCAGGCTCTCTCTTTATTATTCGAAATCTTCTCTGGCAGCGAAGACACATTGCAATAAATTTCAATAATTTCATCCAGGAGCTAAAACGTTTCACGATACAAACAACGCTTGCATAAACTTCGCTGACGGATACAGCGAATGATTTTGGCTCTTTCCTGATTTCCGGATCATTCTCGGTCAGCTCTGCGCTTTCTTGGACATGGTCCGACCACTCAGACTCGGTTGTTAAAAGAAAAACCGGCCCCCTTAACCAACGGCCATTACGAACAAACACGTCTGCCGTAACGCCCCGCAGCGGGATTGGATTTGCTGTCGATGTATCTCCACTGGGACGGGCTCGATTCCTCTCTGATGAAGGCAACGAGGTTTGCAACGTAGGTATGGAAACACTTCGACTCATTCGCGATGTATCGTATGACGGTCATGCTATCTGTCCAAAAGGTCATTTTATCGATGGCTATCTGCAACTCCTTCGTCAAAATCTTGTTCAGCTGAATTGACACGGTAGCAGCCGTCAATTCCAATCTTGGGATGGTAGTCACCTTCAAGGGAGCCATGCGGGACTTGCCAATGAGGAGTGAACAGAAAATCCGACCTTGCATGTCGACTAAGCGAAGATACGATACGGCGCCATAGGCCACCTGAGAGGCGTCGCAGAAATTATGGATCTGACATGAAGCAATATCCGAGGACTTGACAGGTTTGACGCACCTTTCGATGGCAATTCGGGAAATCTTCGGTAGGTCGTCTACCCAAGCTCGCCAGCGGGTCGAGTGAAGATCCGGGACCTCGTCGTCCCACCCCAAACCCCGTCTGCACAAATCCTGTAGGAGAAGCTTTGCAGGAAGAATGAAAGGAGCTGCCATACCCAGAGGATCATATAACGAACTGACCGCTGAAAGTATGCCACGCCTAGTACAGGGCCTATCTTTAATGAACACCTTAAAGCCAAACTGGTCAGCCTCCACGAACCATGACACACCCAAGGCCCTCTCTACTGGGAGCACATCGCAGGTTAGGTCAAGCTCTTTAGTTCCTTTCGCTCTATCTTCAACAGGCATGGACTCTAATACCAGGCGATCGTTGCTGACCCATTTCGTCAAGTTAAAGCCTCCTTTATTCATCAGGTTGCGCAGATCACAAACGTGCTTAATTGCTTCATGACTGGAAGGTAGAGATTTCAAGCAGTCGTCGACATAGAAATTCTTCAGAACAGTAGAAACGACTTCAGGCGAAAACTCGTGCTGGTGATCTTCAGCATTTCGACGCATGGCAAAATTAACACAACTAGGCGACGAAACTGCACCGAAAAGATGCACGGTCATTCGGTACTCTTCCAAACCCTTAGCGACATTACCACCGGGCCACCAGAGAAACCGCAGAAAGTCACGATCCTCCACAGGAACACGCACTTGGTGAAACATAGATTGTACATCTCCCATTACAGCCACTGGGTCTTGTCGGAAACGAAGCAGTATTCCAACCAGGTTGTTGGTCAAATCAGAACCCTGCAGCAATTCGCCATTCAAAGACATCCCTTGGAATTGAGCGGAACAATCGAAGACGACCCTTATCTTCTCAGGTTTCTTGCTGTGGTACACCCCATGGTTTGGAATATACCAGAACTTTCCGTCAGCTCTACACACATCTTCAGAGGGAACCTTTTCAGCGAAACCTTCTTGGATTTAATATGCTTTCAGGAGATGCAACGTAGTCCTCTTGAAATCTGGCATCCTTGAGGAATTTACGTCTCAGGGAGAGGGCTCTGCGCTCGGCTTGGTATCTGTTAGCAGCCAACGTCAAACTTGGATTACGAAAGGGCAAAGGAACTTGGTAATGGCCATCCTCACACCGCATAACCGAGTCTTCCACATTGTTCATGAACCTCAGATCTTCACGAGACATTCCTGTGCCGTCATTCAAACACGCATCCGCAAAGTCAGCACACGCTACGCACATAGCTTGGACGTCAATAGGCTTGGTGAGGTAACAAGCAGAAGGGACATATCTTGGCTTTATTCCTGTTGGGCCATTGATTACCCAACCGAACTCCACCTTACTAACGTAGGGGCCTCCTCCGGCAGCTGGGATAACTTCTTTCAGTTGTAAAGCTTCTGGGACATCTGACCCAATTAATAGATCAACTTGAGAGCTCAGCTCAGTTAGGTAGACGAAGCCTCTAAGGTGTGGCCATCCATCTACATCTTCCTGTTTGGTGACTTCATCCTTAGACACAGGTATAGTAGGTCTGGAATAAACCTCCCTCAATGGGACAACAACACTTTCACCCAAGCCCGACACCACTAAACCTCTGGCCACGACGCTATCAACCTCCTCTGCCGTGCCCATCGTAGTTAACTTTAACTCCAAATGCTTGCCTTTATCGCTAAGACGATCCAAAAG